CACACACACACACACACACACACACACACCCACACACACACACACACACATATATATATATATATATATATATATATATATATATATATATATATATATATATATATATGTTCCCTACCAAGAAATAAAAGAAAACTTTCCTTTTATGATAATCTTATAGTCCTAAAAAAAACTGTTTTATCGCTGTCACCTCTGTCACTGCTGCCTTGTCATCCTCCTCGTCGTATTGCTGTTGTTTCCTCTGCATCTCCTCTTCTCTCCAGTTCAGATGATACAAATCCATATCGAGTATGGGTACATCACAGTTCTTTAGAGCTGAGATTTTTGATTTAGCAGTCAAACTGAGCCCTGATCACACTAAAACATGAGGGTGTTGTGATCTTTAAGGTTTTTGTTCATTTGTAGTGTTTTTTAGTAACTGAAAATGATATACGTACTGGCAAAGTCTGAACTGAACTAGTTCGGTGTTTCACTGTTAACGTCTAGCAGGCTGAGGTGAGTTGGGGGATATTTGGATCTCCAGTAAATTCTTTAGAACATGGAGAAGGTAAAGGAATAGGAACTGTAGGTTGCTCTGATAATCCAAAAGGGACGTCATTCTCATCAACCAATCTTTCATTTTGTTGTTTGGTCTGATGCACCAGGTTTTTTAAGCTTTTCCAGCCAAATGTGAAGGTGCTTCATCTTGTCACATAACTATTCAAAAGATAACTCTTCTTGAATGCACCATCTGCAACTTATAACAGGAAAGATATTCTCTTAGATACAAGGACTGGTAGATGCAGGATGCAAGAGGTTTGATGGTGATGAAGGCTAGAAAACCACATACTGCAGCCAAAGGTGGTGTAGCAATATGTTGATGCCTTGGAAAAAAAAAATGAAGACATTGATGATTTAGAGGGTAGCTCAAGCGGGCGCATTATCACAACAGAGGATGATAATAAAGATTTCCAAGGGTGGTATCATGTTAGGAGAATATCTGCAAACATTGCATGAGAGCATCTGGAGAATTTGTCAGATAGATCGGCATTATCCATAAATTCTAAAAATTTACATGGATTGTAGGAAAATCATAATTCAGGTATGGCACAGTTGTTGCCAGCAAAGGTGAAGCAAAACTTGTTGGATTGTTGATTGAATGCACGAGGACAGAAAAATTCATCATAGTGTTTCTTAATGATTATGGTGTGGGTGAGCTATTTCCAGATGACTGAAACATTGGATCTAGTCATTCATTTCTACATCAGAACTCTCTGGATTACGATCTTCTTCTCACCTACCTTCAATATTGTAAACCAACCTCCTCCCTCCTTTGTTAAGAGTAGGAAGTCAGTTGCTTCCACAGGGGCACGTCAAGGTACACCAATGAAGCAGCAAGCAAGTAGCTGCCAGAGCTGCAGAGGAGGATTATTGGCTGTTTGGACAATTGACCATTTCACAACCTCTTTTTTGGGTCTATAATATTTCATATGTGCCTATTCTTCATTACTTAAACCTGTCTCATGGTGTCTTCACAAGTTATTTTCAATTTTCAAATGCTTTTGAAAAACTTTAATTCACAAAGATTGCTTGGCAAGCATCTCCAAAGCCATTTTATTGGTTTTGAAAGATATTATACACTATGCTTTCCTGTACAAGTTCTTTCGAAAAGTATGTGTTGAATATCTTCTATCAGTGACCATGGAACTTCCGCAGTGCATCGTTTGACTCGACAATTAAATTGTGGGATGCAGAGCAAGGACGCCTTCTGTGCAGCCTGAATGGCCATAGGTAAGTCTGCAGCTCCTTGAGCACACTTTGTATTCTAAAACTGTAATTTAATCAAGGCAAGCCGAATTTGATGTTACCTGAACTCTTGGCTCTGTAAATGTCAGACAACCTGTATATTCGGTTGCATTTAGCCCAAACGGCGAGTATCTGGCAAGCGGATCGCTGGATCAATCCCTGCACATATGGTCTGTGAAAGAAGGGAGAATACTGAAGACGTACAAGGGTCGTGGTGGCATTTTTGAAGTATGCTGGAACAGGGAAGGCGACAAGATAGCAGCATGCTTTGCCAACAGCAGCATTTGTGTTATGGACTTCAGGATGTAAGGAGAGGGAAGCATTATGTCAAGTATTAGGCTATCATGTTTCATGACTGTAGATCTGTTAGGGTGAGTAGTAGGTCATATAGGCTTTTAGTCCATGTGTTTAACGCACCAGGATCACGTATAGTTTCTCTTGCTAGCCTCATCTTTGATGTGGTTACGTGTGGTCCTGTCGAAAGCTTGGAATTGCTAGATTGCTGTAAATTCCAAACAAAACTTAGGAATCTAGAACAAGCCGACTAGTTCATGTAGCATCACAAGGGATCGCAAATTATCACTGTGGTTCTAATGTTATATTGTTGGACAGCCATCTAATTGCATTTGAGAACTCTTTTAAAGTGGTGTGTGTTGTACACTTTTGCTGCAATGAACTAATGGATGTGCAACTGCAGTGTCTTCTCTTCCTGCTCAACTACACGAAGCATTTGGCTTCCACCAGTTTGTCATCTTCTTGCAACATTGTTAGTTTCCTCATTTCTGGTCTTAATTGGATATTACCGTGTTTCGATTGTTGTTTACGATATCATTCATCAGAATTTATATTTTCTTTTTGTTTCAATGTGTCATTAAATTGGAGATATTTTATCATCGTTTTGTTTGAATTGGAGTGAAAACAAGATGTAGACATTCAAGTACTCATTCTAAAGATATGTTTCTGATATTTGAATTCATTGACATCTCAACAGAACATTGATGTATTGCATGACTTCCTTTTTCCTCGGCAACTCCTTTTACGCTTCTTATCTGCTACTTAACCTCTGTTACAGAAACACAACCTTTTCTGCTGCTACTGTCAGCCTAAGGATCAATCAAAAACATATCAGGAGAGCCGCTCAAGACGCAAAAGGCTGCCGCTTAGTGCTTGGAGGAAGAGGAGGAGGAGCCTCTGCTGCCACTTCCCGTGGCGGGGGACCAGAGATCGGCGCCGTTGCTTCTCGTCACGTCCTCCGTGCACGCGACCGGAACCAGGCACAGCCCCCGGCTCCTCAGGTCTGCGCTCCCTCTCCCGTCCTTCGCCACCACCACCACCACATATAAACAACCATTTAGCGTACTAACCTCATTCATTAACATAAGAGATGGTGCCTGTTGTTAGTATCATACATGCAAGTCAGCGGAGGATGGCAGGCTTCGCAGGTAAGGAGAGCTCAGAACCTGCAAATGAACCCCGATTAATCATCATGAGATAAGAATCCATCGATTAATTGGAGAGGAGATCACACACCCTCAACCCACCCACCTGGACTTGTTCGTGCAGGAATCGGATGTATTCCAGAGCTTCATGCAGAACGGAGGCCGTATCAGACTGCCCAATGCAGAGAGTCAAAGTCAAATTAGATCCCGAGTTTTGACTTTGACGCCCCATTAAACGAAGAGGAGATGGAGGACATCCATCGCCGTTACCTTGCCGAAGGGGGAGACCAGCCGCTGCAGGGCCATGATTCTTTCCCCCACCTTCTCCTTCCTCGCCTGCTCTCACATGCATTTATTTATTGCTTCATTTCACAAAGCTGTATTAATTTGATGGGTAATGACTCATCAAGCAGCATACCGTGATGGTGGCAGGAGTAGCACTTGCAGTCACACCGCTTCTCCGCCTCCTCCCTCTTCCACCGCAGCTGCTTCCCACCTTCTTCTCAGGTGATCGATGGAAGCAATACCGTGCACCAAAGACTTGGGTCATTGCTTAGACTCGAGTAGGACTAACTAACTACAGAAGAGGGACAGGCTCACCTTGATCGGAGATTTGGATATATCGATGGTGGTGGGAGGTGGAGAAGAGTCGTTTGCTTTGCGAGGAGCCCTACGGAGTGCTGAAACTGCGTCTTCCTCCTCGCCAAAACAAAGCATCCCTGTCGGAGAGAGAGAGGAGTAGCGAGAGAGCAAGTAGTCCTCTTCCTCTCCGGTCCGCAACACGTCCATGAAGCTCTCTTCCTCCATTGTGTACAACACTTGGGGAGGAGGAGAGCAGCAGCAGTAGTAGGTAAGAAAGGGTCAGTCAAATAAAGTGTCATCAAGTCAGCACTCTTCCTCTCACTCTCTTGCTTCGTTCCTTTCACACGCTTGATCTGCAGCTCTGAGCGCCTGCAGGTGGTGGAAAGTATGCGGAGGTAGAAAGAGAGAGAGAGAGAGAGAGAGAGAGAGAGCGCTCCGAGCCTTGGCCTTCTTTTGTTGGCTTCTGCACCTTCTTTTGGCATCACCTCACCATGCCATCGCATGCTCTGCTCGCTTTTTGTTTCTTCCGTTCTTTGCGTGAGCCGAGCTGGTCAAACCCGACGGTCAAAGCTGGTAGAACTAGAAGCCGTGCCTCATCCTACCTTCCAACTCGCTGTGCTCTCTTCCATCTGTTTCTTCTCGTGTTCTCTTGCACCCGAGTTGGGTCTCATGGTCGATACGTGCCGAGCTATCAACTCTCCGCTTCCTAAACACACGTACATGAGCTTCACTTCATTGTGCCCGTACATGTCGAGCTGAAGCGCCGATGATTCGTTGTCCCAAAAGCTTCTCCGTGGTGGCTGTATGATGGGAAGAATGGCTGTATCGAAATATATGTAGACGACGTGATGCGTTGATTGCTCGGAAAAAATCGACGTCAACCGACACGATCCCTTACCCATTCACATGCGCCGTCCACGTGGCTCTCATAGAGCGCTCAACTTCCACGTTTTCCTTTCTTCATATGCGTCCCGTCACAGCCACAAAACAAACACATTTGCCGACTTAGACGAGGAGAATGGGGGTCCCAGAAACGGGTCCCGCGGTACTCCTTCGTGGGGAATGGTCGGGTATTTTCTTGGGTCGACGTTGAAAAATTTAGCCAATGTGGCTCAGATAATCCTAATCCAATCGCAGTCCGGGCCCCACTTGAAGAGCGGAGGCCCCACTTATTAGCGACTTCAATCACGAACCCCCAGTTAGACTGGAACTGGGTCGTTGCCGAAGTCGTGCACTCGTGGCGTGAAGTAGCGCCCACGAGGACGATACTGCTCTCTTCTTCCCAAAGCTTCCGTTCGGCTCTCCCACGCGGCTCTCCCACACCCACAAATCTCCTCTCCAAAGATCCCTGTAGGGTTCCTTTTCCGGAGGTTTCTTCGTGCTCGAGGTAGGGAATCGAGTGAAGTGAAGAAAATCGAGGTCCGTTCTTGGGTGATGAGATGATCGTCTCGGCTCTGCTAACGTCGGTGGGGATCAATCTTGGCCTTTGCGTCCTCTTCTTTGCTCTCTACTCCGTCCTCCGGAAGCAGCCGTGCAATCTCAAGGTCTACGCCCCGCGCCTCGTCGCGGAGGGACGCGCCGGCCAGCGCAGCCACTTCAACATCGATGCCCTCCTTCCCTCCGCAGGTTGGGTACGTAGGGCGTGGCAGCCGTCTGAGGATGAGCTCCTTAACTCATGCGGTCTCGACGGTGTCGTCTTCAATCGCATCTTCATCTTCAGGTGGCTGCCTTTTTCTTATTATTTCCTACTTATCCGGATATCCCCTAGATATTGTTTTGACGATACAAGGGTTTCTGGACTTGATTGTTTCAGTTTTGTTCTTGTTTGATTGTTGTCTCTTTGATTCTGGTGCAGTCTGAGGGTGTTTTCTGTCGCTGCGATCATAGGGATATTTGTTCTTCTCCCCGTTAATTATTTGGGAGATCATCTTCGGGATATTGACTTTTCTGATCTTCCAAACAAGTCTCTTGATTTGTTCACCATCTCAAATGTAAAAGACAGCTCTAATTGGTAAGCAAAACTGTTTGCACGAAAAAAGATTGCTGCTTTTCTGTTGTTGCATAGTATCATGTTCCAAACGTGAGTTGAATGCAGATTCGATCGTCGTCTATGAGTACACTGATGAAAAGGAGACACTAGCACTACCTTAACAATTGCTTCTCGGTTAATTTGTCCCATCTTCACTTATTCCTGTGGTTGCTTACAAGTAACTCGAAGTTAAGTCCCATATATGATCTGAATTTTATTCCAGAGCTAATATGCTCTAGAGGATAATACGAGTCCTTAAATAAAGCAATTAGACTTAATTTTTTACGTTTTGTATCTAGTTCCATCCAATTTATTACTTTAAGGTTCAAAACATCTCCACTCCATGTCATTATTATTGTTAAGTTCAGATTCAAGGTGCAGGAAACCAAATGAGACCTGATAATCTGATAGATTGTTTGTCAATATGATCATGATCCGGAACTTCGATTAGACTAAGGCCAAGTTTGCCAATGCTGATCTATACTGATTTTGACTGGCTGCAGACTAGTATGATGGCACCATTATGATTCAAGATTCCACGTGCATTGACAGATACTTCTGCTTTTCCACTGAACTTAAATAGGTTCTTCTTAATATTTCCTTCTTCTCCACCTCTTCTCTAGTGTCTTGCATGTTCAAGGTTACAAGAGAGTGGTCTCATCTCATCTGCTCCTCATGTCTCATGTGATTAGTGCGATAAGGAAATTGTGTTCTCCTCCTCCTCCTTGAAGTTGAGACTTAAGAGGACCCAAACCCAATTTCAGGTGAACATGTGGTTGAATCTGAACCAAGCAAGCTTAGATGAAAAATAATAAAATAATTGGTTGATTTTTGAATGATGAAATTAGTTAGTTTCTCTTTCTCTTGAAACTAGGTAGCCTGCTCAGTGCAGATTGCAAATACGGACAATTCTTATGGTTAAAATTCCTTGGATAGGAACTGAGATATCTCTGAAAATATATTCGGAAAGTGATAAGCTATTGAAGATAATATAAATCCTGGAATAAAGTATTTGCATTTAGTATTCATTATTTTTTGTTTTGGCTAATTCTATCAATTTCCTGACCAATCTCTTTCTTTGATGGTCCAAAACATGTCCACTCCATGTCATGATTTACCAAGTTTCCTTGATTACTATGAGGCTGTTAGAAGGATTGGATCTAAGGTGCATGAAATCCACTGAGATCTGGTAATCTCATGGGTTGTTTAAATGTGACTCGTATCTATTATGATCATGAACTGGAGGTTTGGTCATAAAATCCGGTCTATTCCTACTCTGCAAAGACCAATGATTGCTGATGTTGGTTTACGCTGAGTTTTGGCCTACTGACAAACTGGTATGATAATGCTGTATGGATCAGGATTCCAGGTGCATTGACATTGGATTTCACTAGGAAAAAATAAAAGTGAAGCAAAAGAAAAAGATAATAGGGTGGACACAGCTGCATTTGCTGCTTTTTCCACTCTAAACCATGGTTGAGTCTTGTTTTGTGAGGTGTACAAGAGAGGTTTTCTTCTCTTCTCTTTGCATCTAACATGGTCAGCATGGAGAAAAGGAAAATAACTTCCTCATTCTCCTCCTCCTCTTCCTCAAAGTTGAGACTTGAGAAGATTAGGAACTTGGTTCATCCTTTAAAATAATATAAAAAATAAAAATCATGATTTTTTTCTGAAACACAGAAAATAGTTAGTAAACCTAAATATTATGATCACTTGAAAACTTGTCTTTAAACATTATATATTTATTTGTTGCATATCCCTGTATCCATATATGAAATTTATATTCATTTTGACCATGTCCCTATGTTGTTAGTTAGAAGGATGGCCTTTCTAGACAGTAGAAAGTAGAAACATGATACTCATACTGAGTTAAAACAAGATATTGAACCTATGCCCTTAGAAGCTCTTTTTTGCCTTCTTGTACTTAGTACTTCTCTAAGTGTTTTTTTAGTGGCACATGCTCATTTAAATTCTAGCAACTGCAAGCTCTGTAAAGATAGAGAGCTTATAGGATATGACTTTGCTATCAAGGCAGTCTCCACTTCAAGAATGATAAAAGGCCTATCTAGAGAGAATAATAAGAAAGAAGAATTTTTTTATTAATAAATTAGATACACAAAAAAATATATGTATATGATATAATACGTCAACTCTTATTTGTTGTTTTATTCTTTGTTAGCTTCTTGATATCTAAGAATTTTTCTTAATACATAGTATCATTTCGACCATGTGAGTTTGCATGGATGTTAAATTGGCAATTTAGTGGCAGTACATGGCAGCTTGATGCAGTCTTTCCATTCAAGTGAGATCTCTGGATGGTTGGTTATCTTGTATGTTTGTCTTGTCAACAAAAATGCTCAATATTATCAAGTTGCTAGTTTTATTTTGTCACAGAGACTGGTTGCCTAAGAGTTACATATTAATTTAATCTGTCTAAAGTAGTAATCTTTTTTTTTTGTTGAAACTGTGATTGTTATTCAGAAGTTTAAGAATTTATTGGCAGGTTATGGTGTCAATTTTTGCTATCATTACAGGAGAAACAGTAGTCTCTGTTCTTATTGTTTATTGAATCTGTGATTGTTATTCAGAAGTTTAAGAATTTATTGGCAGGTTATGGTGTCATTTTTTGCTATCATTACAGGAGAAACAGTCGTCTCTGTTCTTATTGTTTATTGAATCTGTGATTGTTATTCAGAAGTTTAAGAATTTATTGGCAGGTTGTGGGTTCATTTTTCTGCTGCATATTTCATCACAGGAGTAGTGTGCTATCTGTTGTATGCTGTAAGTGTCGCTGTCTCTGAATTATTTCACTGTCCTATCCCAATTTCTTTATATGATAAACATTATGTTTGCTTGTAGCAACTCTTCCATTTCAGGTGCTTTTTCCAATTTCTTTATATGATAAACATTATGTTTGCTTGTAACATTATGTTTAACTGTGATCGGTAGGTTGTATTAGTTGATATATCTGAACTTGTTAAAGATGTTAATTTGGTCTAGTCCATAAGTAAGTCATTGATACAATTTCATCATGAGATGTGTAGACTAAGCATGCTTATTGTTTCAATAGTTTCGCTATTTGTAGCATTTTCTTTTGCAGGAGTGTAAATAAGAGGATTGCTCAATTGACATATTTGTTTTCCAGATTGAAATTCATAGCTTTTATAGTCTGGAGCTTTCATGTTATGACTACTGATAATGATTGTTTTCTCATATTAATAACATGGTTGCTGAATTTTTATGTGTATCTTTTATTGTAAAAGTACGTTATAGATGCTGTCTTATGGTATGAATATCATCTACATTTCAGCAACACTTGTTATGATTACTTAACCACAAATGTGGAAGCATATGCCCAATTACGCTC